TGAAATAAATGAATAAATAAATTATAAATTTTTCGATATATTACTACTTACATCTTTTCTTGACTACTTATTCAACTTTTTGCCCGCATATGTGTTTTTCTATTGTAGAAACACTATTTCGATTGGCTGATGATGTACCTGAGTGTCCGAAACATGCTCCATAATGAAACCCTGTATCTTTTGTTGTTCCCGTTGTTCTATCGGCTATGAAAATAACGCTAGACCACGCTGTATTGAGAGTTATTTTTGTATATCATTGAAGTTTCAGAAATGATCTCATTTCTTCGATATTATTTTTGTTACTATAAGGCTTTGAAGACCATTCGTTCGGAGGAAAATAGCATGGAAATGGAAATTATGAAGAAATCGCTGAAATCGCCTGAACTAAGTATATCATTACAAGTTTCAAGAAACTAAATGATACGATATGAAACTAGACACAGTTATTATCGTGCTGAAAATACTTTCTGAATAAGGTATCACTAGAACAATTTTCTCAGTTGGGATTCTTCTCCGAGGACAAAACATAGACAAGACATATAGAGTTTCGATCAAAATTTCACGTACAGGGTGAGCGAAATTGAAAGAAAGGGGAAGTCCTCTATTTTCGAGCTATAAATACAAGGTGTTTTTGAAAAACGTGCGTTCTTAAAAAGTGACTTGAACTGATTTTTTTGGCGAAAATTTTTGTACTTCCATATTATGATAATCTTAATGCTTAGCATGTTTTCATGGAAACATAAAAAATTTTGTTATAGGTTTAATGAGATCCAGAGACTTTTCACGAATGCACATTTTCAAAAAATACCTGGTAACTCTGAAGCAATGATAGATATAAAATTTTGAATTGACTCGGTCGTTACTTGATGGAAATCCATGGCAAATGTAAAAACTTCACAAACGATGATGAGATTTCCATTCGCTAACACAGTAGCTTCGTCCGGTGATATACTGGTACAATTAACCGAACAAACGTTGGTTTAGTTCATTGTACCAGTATACAGTGTATCCCACTTACCATGCTCACCATGGTGAGAGATACGAGGTCGGTTAAATGACACCAAATGTGGAGTTTGTCAAGGCCAACTATTATGTGAAAAAATATTTTGATAAAATCTATTCGTTTTTGTTTTATACGCAAAAAACATATTTTGATCATTTTCATGTCTCCTCCGTAACTTCTTTATTCATGAAAATATTCAAATAGGAATTTCACATTCTCATGGCAGTTTTTCGAAGTGATTTCGAAACAAATATGGAATTTATACCAACTCTTCTAGAATTTGAGATATCAGCACCAACTATAGTTTTTCAAATGTAAGATAACTTGTTTTTCTCTCACAGATGATATGTCGCAGTAATAGTTTTGTGTTGATAACAACGGAGTTATCGTCATTTTTACAAAAACAAAAAATCATTTGGAAGTCGCCATCTTGAATTTATAAATTTTAACAAGGAAATCATGATCTCCGACCTCAAGAACCCCCACTTACCAATTGGACCAAATCTTGTCCGCCATCTTGGAGCAGCCATTATTTTTAATTTCAACAAAAATTCCATAATGTACAATCAACTTTGGCAGATGCTCGTAAATCCGGTGACAATACATTAGGGAATTTTTGTTGAAATTTAAAAAAATGGCTGCTCCAAGATGGCGGACAAGATTTGGTCCGATTCCATTCAAAATTGGTGAGTGGGGGTTTTTGAGGTCGGAGATCATGATTTTTTTGTTAAAATTCATAAATTTAAGATGACGAATTCGAAATATTTCTTTTATTTTTGTATAAATGATGATAACTCCGTTGTTATCAACACAAAACTATTACTGCGACAAATTATCTGTAAGAGAAAAAGAAGTTATTTGTAACTGAATAGCTATGACCTACATTTGAAAAACTAAAGTTGGTGCTGATATCTCAAATTCTAGAAGAGTTGGTATACATTTCATATTTTTTTCGAAATCACTTTGAAAAACTGCCATGGGAATGTGAAATTCCTATTCGAATATTTTCATAAGTAAAGAAATTACGGAGGAGACATGAAAATGATAAAAATCTTTTTTTTTGCGTATAAAACAAAAAAGAATAGATTTTATCGAAATATTTTTTCACATTATAGTTGGCCTTGACAAACTCCACATTTGGTGTCATTTAACCGACCTCGTATCTCTCACCGTTAAAAAGATACCCATGGTGAGCATGGTAAGTGGGACACACTGTATATCACCTGATGAAGCTACTGTGTTAGCGAAAAATGTTGTGCGTTTAACAATTTTGTGGAAATCTTATCGTTCATCTGAATAAACTGGTCAACATTGATAACGTCGTGCTCCATAATATAGCCTGAATTCAAAGTAGAATTACTCACGAATTTCCTCACCAATTTGAAATCTGTTTTCACCAATGATTAGCCTACTCTCTTGACAGTTTGTTGTTGCAATATGAAACTTCTTTAATTTCAGATAACATTGCTACAGGGTGATAATTGAATGGGTGTAAAATTGCATCGTGGTCGTCACCTTACCGTTTGAACAGCTATTTTTTTTGATTTTTTTTCTCACCTGTATTCTCTTGATTGATGCTTTCTCTCGAAACGTTTTCGGAATTTTCAGATCCAGAGCTTCGATAATCGTGTTATGATTATTCATTCAGAATGATGCATTTTTTTGACGATTAATTGAATGAAATTGAAAGTTGGAATTCTTCTCCGAAGAATCAACGTTGTATGTATAGTCGTCGGATATGTGATTGTGTTCGAACACAAAAAATCTGAAAAAGTCTATACAAAGTGATACAATAAATACTGAATGATGGAATGGAGAATTACTGAGTCCTCAGTAGACGAAACATAATTTTCTCTGTGTTTCTAGTGGAATAATGGAGTGTTACTTCGTCATGAGGATGTCTGGTGTCTGACCTCGAAATAGTTTTTTAATTTCTTGGATCGAAGGTCATATAATGAAAGTACGCATTTTCAATCGAAATGATGCATTTTTGTTAAGATAATTCATAAAATTCAAGAAATTACGATTGTAGTTCCAGAAGTATGAAATTCATATTTATTCTTGACGATGGATGTACAAGGTGCGATAAAAAATATGTCCAGATTGTCCCGGGATGAAGAAAGATATGTTTAAACGTGATGAAAATCGCTATGTTCCGAAAAAGAAGTATAGTGTCGGTCATTGTCGAAATTTGTGGAATGTATAAATACAGTAACTTTTCATAAGGTTTATCAGAGGAATATGAGAGAGACTGTAAAATTGCCATATATTCGATATCAATTTTTCATACTAATGAAGATGAATACAGTGAAGTCCTCATGAGGCTTATACGAGGTAATATGAACGAGACTTCACATATTGAAATGAACGTCAATCCAATATGCAATTAGGATTTTTTTGATGTGAGAAAACATAATAGCAATAATTGTTAGTATAAGTTAGGAAATCTATATTTTTTTCAACATAATTCGTCAAATCTATAGCATCAGGTGAGATATATATAATATATTCCTGATGAATCACCCTGTGAAAAAGATGATGCAGAAATGAGCATTCAAGAGTTATCCTATCTCCATTCAACTTCACAATGAGTGACAATGAGGAAAGTTTCCTTCGAAAGACCATGTTGTAGGTGCTAGTATAAGATGCAATGGTAACAAGTATGCACGAATATATGGCAATTTTGAAGTCTCTTTCATATTACCTAGTATAAGCCTCATGAGGACTCACTGTATTTATCTTCATTAGTATGAAAACATTTAATCGAATCTGTGGCAATTCTGTATAAACCTCATGAAAAGTTACTATATTTATTCATTTCACAATTTTTGACAATGACCGACATTATATTCCTTTTTCGGAACATAGCGATTTTCATCACGTTCAAACATATTCTTCTTCATCCCAGGACAATTTTTTATCGCACCTTGTATATTCATCGTCAAGAATAAATATGAATTTCATACTTCTGGAACTACAATCGTAATTTTCTGAATCTTATAATTTATCTTAACGAAAATTTTGATTAAAAATGCCTTTTTCATTATAATATGACCTTTGATCCAAGAATTGAAAAACCATTTAGAGTTCAGACACTAGACATCCTCGTGACGAAGTAACACTCCATTATTCCACTAGTAACACAGAGAAAATTATGTTTCATCTACTGAAGACTACGTTATTCTCCATTCCATCATTCATCCAGTATTTCTTGTATCACTTTGTATAGACATTTTCAGAATTTTCTGTGTTCGAACACGATGACATATCCGACGACTATACATACAACGTTGATTCTTCGGAGAAGAATTCCAACTTTAAATTTCATACAATTAATCGTCGAAAAAGTGCATCATTCTGAATGAATATTCATAACACGATTATCAAAGCTCTGAATTTGAAAATTCCGAAAACGTTTCGAGAGAAAGCATCAATCAAGAGGATACAGGTGAGAAAAAAATTTAAAAAATTAGCTGTAAGGTGACGACCACGATGCAATTTTACACTCATTCAATCATCACCCTGTAGCAATGTTATCTGGAATTACAGAAGTTTCATATTGCCAAAACGAAATGTCAAGAGATTCGGCTAATCATCGGCGGAAACCGATTTCAAATTGGTGAGGAAATTCGTGAGTTATTCTACTTCGAATTCAGGCTATATTTTGGAGCACGACGTTATCAATGTTGACCAGTTTAGTTTGAACAATCCCGTTCAGAAATTTCCAATTTGGCTCACTCTGTACATGATATTTTGATGAAATTCGATTTTCCAGTCAAAATGGGCAGATAGATTATGCAAAATAGAATGATGCCTGACTAAGTTTCCTATAATTCTTGAGACGTCATTGTGACGTAAGAAGCCATGAGATTTATATAGCAGGTGTTTTTGAGTAGTACATTTTTTGGACAAGAAAATCGATCGTTAATCTACTCCGAAAAAAAAAACCGTTCTGTGAGGTTACACTTGAAGCGAGAAACAATGTATTTTATGTCACCTGGATATCTTCGCAGGAATCCTGTGGAGCTCCCGAAAAACTGCCAGGATAATGAAGGATCCCCTTCGTAATTATTGATGTACAGTGGGTCTAAATGTTCCGACCACTGTATAGCATTCATAACATCAGGATCTGAAAAAAATACCTGAATGAATACGGGATCAAAAGTATATATATAGTTGTTGGGATCGAAGAATGGACAAGAAGTCACTTGATTTGATATTACAGGTATAGTTCATACTGGTGAATTATCTTTTCTTGTGAAGGCATTAGTCAAATATCACATCTATAAACATGTAGTTCCAGAAATTGTGCGGTACTCAAAGTTTTTCAAGCCTCTACCAATTTTTCCATACTTGGGAACTGAAGTAATGACTTCATTCGATTGTTTTCTACATAGAAATCACATCAAGTCAAAGAAAATTTGTGTCAAGCTAGGTCCACACCGAATCGTGATGATTTTATGGACACCCTCTGATTTTAACCGACAAAAATGTCTCAGAAGTTCGAAACATGTTAGAGACATCATGTCTACAATTTTGAGTGAATTTCAACAGAATTTGAGTTCTTGATGAACTAGTTGTGCATTTCTATCATGACGAAAAGCTCCACTCAATGGAACGTTTTACCGTATATGGTATATTTGGAAGAAGCTAATTTTTCTAAACAAATTTTATGGACGGAATGAATCTTCGTTCGTTGAAATCATAGGACTTTGCAGAAAAAACAGAAGGCGAGTGAGTTTTTTTATTTCCTAAATAGAATATCACTCAAATACTTTTCAATTTCATATTTCTCAAGAATTTTTGGATTGAATTTTAGGTGCTAAAATCAACAACAATGCCACGGTAATTTTCAAACGGCTAGAAATTTACCGTAAGTAGAATCTGAATCCACGATTTCGTAAGTAGGGGCAGACCATAGCACAGTTGCCTTGTGTTGAAATACGATTGGGAACTTCGGAAATATTAGTTAGGTATTCGATAATTCGTAAATTCTCAATTATGTATTGGTAATATTCCTAATTAGCAATAAAAAATCAGTTGTATCAAAATATTCCCTTATGATTTGTTGCTCATCGCTTATAATGAATTTGTGTGAATAATAATTGAAATGTCCGGTAAACGTGTCAACACGGGGTACGAATTGTGGGCGTGATCTTGTCAGTTTTCAGCATTCAGCCGTTACCACCGATACAACAAGGCCAGCAGACTCTGACGTAAACAGCTCGTGACGTCGCCAAGTGAGGCCAGTATTTTATTTTATCGCTTGTCGACTAACGCGTCAGTTCGTGTTAATTCATCGGTGATTCACGCATGGTTTTGAAACGGTCCCGAATTCTTTTGTTGTTTATTCATCAAAATAATTGGCGGAAAAATTACTGTTTTGTGAAATATTTTGTGTTGTGATCGGCGAAATAACAATGCCTTTCAAGTGTTGTGTTCCCTTTTGTCGGGGGAATTATGTGGGTGGTTCAAAAGTTCATGCTTTTAGTTTCCCGTTGGACGAGGAGCTATCGAAAATGTGGGTAAGTACCTATATGTAATTCACCGCGAGGATTTTACTCCATCTAAGTATCTAAGTTCAGTAGTGAACAGAGCTTAATTTATAATGATGAATTAATAATATAAGACAATTACTCTCTCATAAAAAGTATAAGTAGAGGAAAAATAGAAAAGCTTTGATTGTGCAGTTAGTTTTGTATTCGTATATTATAGTCAACAAAATCATCTCTGAATTCGAGGAAATTTTCTTGAATGTTCATAATAAACGGGCATTTTTAATTCTCATTCTCAAATTTCTTTCTGAAAACGGTCATTTGCCTCGTGGCAATGAATGCAGAATTCATTCCAATGATCAAATCGCAACTATCATATTAACATGAACTACAAACACTCTACTTAAGTGGATGATATCGATGATACTTCAGTTTCTCCTCTATTAAGGGGTAGAAGACGAGGTAAATATTTGAAATTCCAGAACGGACTCCGTCTTTCTCACTAAATATCTCCGCCTCGCTCGTTCGATAGGCGCATCTTATAACCGCTAAGAAGACATACGAGGGGATGTCCAAGATTATTCGAGAGCGAAATATAGAAAAGTGAAGGGTGAATTTTCAAAGCTGCTCCTCTGTATGATAGTTAGAAGGGTCATTTTATAGCATGAATGCGAAACTGCTGTTCTTTTTCTCACGATGATTTCATCAAAATTCTCTTGATCAATTCACCATATTTCTCGACTTTTGAGTGGAATAGGAATTTCCACAAGGATACAAGGATTATATTGTTATTGAATATATTCATCAGTTTGCTGTATATTGACCGATATGGGGAAGATGCTATTAGAAACTATATGACAAATTTGATATACAGGGCAATTCATGAAGAGACTCACATAGCCAAATGGTGAGTAGGGGAAAACAAAACAAGTTGAGATTCCATGTATGAAAGATTCTGTTGGCCTTCAATAACGAAGATATTATGTGAAATTGCCATATTATGATTTCAATGGCCGACATTTCAGATATGATTCATCCCAATTAGGCAGTGACGTTTCTTTATTCAAGATGGAATATTATAAAAAAATCAGATCCGAAAAATTTCATGTTCTCTTGTTATAAAGAAAAAGCTCATTTTGTGATCAGTTTCCTAGAAAAATTTTATCAGATTCAGGAAGATCAGACATAATGCCATAAGAACTGCTCTTCAATTTGCACGACACACGTTGATCGGTTCATTAAACAATATGAAACAAGAACGTTCGAATAAATTTTTAATTTGAACCTAGCTGATGATAACTCTCTTATTTCAACTGGATTGATGTGATTTATGATAGGAATCGACAGATATAAGTATAGTTGATAAAAAACCACAGAACTGCTTTTTTGGTGATTTGAAATGTTCGTTCTTGATCGACATCATGACTTGTTTCTGTTTACAAATATTGCAAATATCAATGAAGTAATAATGAAATAGTATAGGCGGTGTTTTTTCATCATTTGACGTGACGTGATATCTGTTGATATTCCGAAAAGATGGGTAGGAACTGGTGAAATTATGGCATGAAGATTTATTAGGATGTTCTGAATATTCGAGATAATTCTGTCGCTTCCTTGTTCACGAAAGTGTGCTGCTGGGCAACACCACGGCGAGTGGTATTTCAACAATGAAAGACAGAATCATGAGAACATATTCAGAACGGAGTTGTAATTTGCTAGAGAGAGAGAGAGAATTTCTTATAAATGAGCGATTCATATTCTGACGACAGATATAATTATTGTATGCCAAACTGACAGTCTTTGCTCCGCTATCCATGGTTACATCTTTGAAAACACCAACACTGATAGACCAATCAGAATTGAAAGACCGCTTGTGTTTTCGCGATTACACACGTTGTGATGTGATTGATCAGATTATGTAATAAATGAAATTATAGTATATTGTTTAACGAGCACGGAATGATAGTGATTTCCTCCGAGAATGAAGTTTGCAGCATTGGCGAATGCTGCCATAATTTTTCTACGGCTATAATAGATAACAGCGACATTTTCGATTTCGTCGTCCTGTAGCCATTTGATTTCCTGTCAAGTAATGCTCATCTATTAGACAGCGGTGTCATTGCTCACATTTGACATTCCATGAGCGATGAGATTTTTTGAAATAATAACACAATGGAGTCATTGTGATATCAGATACGAAAATAATATTGATGATATACAAAGTGCCTCATTGACGTATCGAGCACAGTAAAACGAGAGCAATTGTGTGTTATAGCCGTAGTAAGGTTTTACTCCTATACATATTCTTGGGTCTGTAAATCTTCTATGGTATTGAACTTTGCAAACATTTGAACTTTTTCCATGTTCAGCATTTGAAAAATAAAGTGACATCTTGAGTGCAAGAATCACACGTCACATCAAGAAATGAAGAATAGGGCACGACTACTAATATCTAGAGTCCCTGTATATACCTTAGACAAGAGTCCGGACACAAAACTGACTGCTGTTGGGGTTTTCAATATTTTGTTTTATTTGGTTTGTCCACCTGACAATGTGACGAAACACCATAGTCGTCCCGCCCGCTTTTTTTTAATTATTTCGAATTTTTGTCACTGTCACTTTGAAATTCTATGACCGCCAAAATTTAGCATTTTAAATTATTTAAATTTCCTGCTGCATACATTATTGCGACAATTCATTAGAAAAGGGATTCAAGTTATTATCATTATTTAATAGTTATTATAGTTAAAATAGCCCTATTTCCCACTTCTACCTACGGCTATGAACGGTTTGACAAATAATCTAACCCTCAAAATTGTTTCTGACAATCATTGATACTAGGGGAATTGAAAAGACAGAGCTCGATATATTTGTCTTATTCCTTTATTCAATCATCAATGCATTTTTTGAAAACAGACAGGGACTCTACTAATATCTATCTAGAATTTCGATCAAGAACTATAACATTGCAAATCATCAAAAAAAATCAGTGTTAGTGGTACTGTGCTTTTTCTCGTTCGCTCTCTTCTGTCAATTTTTACCCAACAAAAATGTACAAAAAATCTATTTACATAAATCCAGTTGAGAGTACTGTTTACTTCATCAGTCAGGTCGAAATTGAAAATTCATTCAAACTTTTTTGTTTCATATTCCTTCATTGAACCGGTCAAAGTGTCGTGCCCTGAAAATGAAGAGCAGTCCTTATGGCATTTCGTCAGATCTTTCGGATTCTTATAAGAATTCTCGCGAAAAGTGATCACAAAGTGACCTCTTTAGAAATCAGTAAAACATGAATTTTTCCCATGTCCGGATCTGGATTTTTTCCATAAGGTGTCATATGGAATAGTTCCGATAGAGAAACGTAGCTGCAAAATTTCAGCAAATTACGATGAGTCATATTATCTGAAATGGCAATTTCACATCGTAGTAGATGGAATTTTTTTTTCATATACCTACAGCGTCCCTCACTTTTCTCTTTCTATATCTTAGGTATTAGTCGTGCGATTTTCATCAAATTTGGACTGGTATTCTGTATCTGGGGTTCTATTGAAATAAAACGGGGTCGATTTTTCATGAAAAGGCATCTTTCAACAGGAAAACGAACCTCATAATATTGTTCTTCATCGTTATAAGA